AACTATGACATATAACAGCTGATTCGTGACGTCACGGATCTTATAACCAAACTGATAACTACACTCGCTTGAACGGATTGGTAAATACCAACCCAAAATGGTAAATACCATTTCCATTTGGTTATCCGCTTGAATTTGATTATTATGTTCTTAACAGTTAACAGAAAAAAAAATGCAAAATATATATAAAAATTCACTTATAACCCATATGAGAAGTGGAAAATGAGATATTGTGTGTGCACATACTGCTACTCTGAAAAGGTCTATGAATATTGAGGGAAAAGTTAATCGTTCAAATAATTCAACTTAACATTGTAGCGGAAACATGGTAAACTCATGGTCTTAAATTTACTGTCCAAAGAATTATATATTGCTGCAACGTTATATGAGAAACTTCGTTGGAACAGAGATGTTGTATGCTTCGGAATTCTGATAACGTGCCTGTCTCTAATAGCTCTATTGTGAATGGTGTTATTAAAAATAATTTTTTCATATAGGTATTCTGGCTTAGAATTAATTAAAATTTTATGGATAAATGTGGAAAAATGTAACTTGACCAACTGGTCAAACTTTAGCCATCTCAACTCATTTGTGAGAGACATGGTCTAACCTTCTCATGCCGAATATAAAACGAACACAGCTGTTTTGAATCAATTGGATTCTGTGTTTAGTGATCTGATCCAAACAGGGAAAATATAGAATACTGCAGTAGTTCAAGACAGACACAACGAAGGTTTCGCAAAGTTTTTTCCTCATTTTGAAGTTTAGCAGATATCTGTTTGAATAAAGACTGCGTAAACGTGCATAGGTTTTTTGTGTCAGATTTTTTACATGCTCGGTAAATCTTAATTTTGTATCAATTTCTACACCCAATATTTTTGCGCTATTGGTGAGCTCGAGCTGCTTATTGTCTATGTTCACATTTAAGAGCGAAACAACGTCGTTCCTTCTGCTGTCTGAACAAAACAATAAAATCTTAGATTTTTCCGGGTTTATGCTGAGGTTGTGATCTGCTGAATATTTGCATAGACTATCAATATCTGCTTGTAATACTTGGACAGTGCTCTGTATATCTTCTGTACCGAAACAATGCGAGAGCTGGGTGTCATCAGCGAACGATTGAATATCAGAGTTGTAAACTGATCTAGATAAGTCAAATGTATATATTAAAAACAAAAGAGGTCCCAAAATGGAACCCTGAGGCACTCCTGAAGGTATGCGAGTGACATCAGATGTAATACCCTTCACTGAAACACATTGAGTCCTGTTTTTAAGATAGCTTTCAAAAAATTTGATTACAACCTCATCACAACCAACAGAACGTAGCTTAGCACATAAAAGTTTATGATCTATCTTATCGAAGGCTTTAGAGTAGTCGACTGATATTAAAGCTAAACCCATATGTTTATTAAAGCCGATGTTGTATTATAATGTTTTCTAAAACCCGATTGATTAGGTGGGATTATCTGATGTACTTAAATGTATGATGTAAGTTGAAGTTGTGCAATCTTTTCAAGGATTTTTGACAAAATAGGTAGTAAACTGATTGGTCGAAGATCTGATAGGAGACCGGGTGTCAAAGTTTTTCCTATAGGTATTATCAGTGCTTGCTTCCAAATTTTAGGGAAGTAACCGGTTTCAAGATATAGATTGATAATGTGAACTAAGTGGAAAAATATAACGGGTAGGCTTACCTTTACCATAGTTAGCGTAAGACCATCTATTCCTTTGGCATCTGATTTAAGAGATTTAATAGTTTGTAGAATTTCTGAAGGATCAATAATTCTAAATGAAAAAGAATCAGATTTTTGTATAGGTGACATAATTCTTCCGAGGTATTATTTGTACTGTAAACTGACATAAAATAGTCATTGATTTCATTTGGATCAGATAGATTATCTGGAAGAGGGGTTTTTGTCCGAGAATGTATATTAAGGTGGTTTAAGCCAATCCATACCTTTCTTTCGTCATTCTGTTCAGATAAAAATTGTAGATATGCTCTTTTCTCTTTCCTCACCTGAGTAAGCGCGTGATTTCTTTTTTGCTTATAAATATTTAGGTTTTCTACAGTTTTATTTGTTTTATATGTAGTATGGGCAATATCTCTTTCTTTAAGAAAGTCACGTAGGCGGGGAGATAGCCATGGAGCAGGTGGTTTGTTTACTCTAAAAGTAGTTACAGGAGCGTGTTTATCATAAACTCTCATCAGTGTATTTGTTAGGAACTCAACTTTAGCATCTATATGGTTCATAACAAATAAGTCGTCTAAATTTGCAGACGCTAAGTCACTTAGAAAATATTCTTCGTTGAAGCACTTGAAGTTCCTTACAGTTACAAACCGTTGTTTATTTTTCAAATCAGGAATGGATAGATTGCACGATACCATTTTGTGGTCAGATATGCCGTTAGAATCAAGAACCAAACAGTCGGAAATAATGTTTGGTTTATTAGTAAAAACTGGATCTAATAAGGATGCTGTGTTACTTGTCACTCTTGTAGGATCACTGACAATTTGAGAAAAACTCACCATTTGAAAGCATGGAGAAAGGACGTTGTTGCCGCTCAAAATATCAACATTCAGATCTCCTACAATAACAATGTTATCAAAATTGTTTGACATTAACGGTAACATGAGATCTAGAGCGCTGATGCAATCATTGAGGTTTTGTGAGGGCGGTCTATACAACACACCCAAAAGCAAGAGGCATTTGTTTATTTTTATGCTGACCCACAGTTGTTCCAAGCAATTTCCAAAGCTGTTGTCAAAGTTAATAATTTCGACCTGTAGGTCAGTGGATATGTAGACTCCTACTCCGCCACCGCGGGATCCCCTGTCACTACGGAACAGATTGTAATTATTGATACTCACCGCATCATTGGTAATGTCTTGGCTCAACCATGTTTCACTTACAGCGAAAATACCGAACCGCTCAGTCTGAATCAGGTCAATAATTGCAGCAAAGTCGGACATGAGAGATCGCACGTTCAGATGACCAAGCTTCATTGATCCTAACTTATCCATAATCTATTCTAGCTTTAAGACTGAGAACATGGTTCTCAAAAAGCATACATGTTTTATCCGATGCAGCATGCTCAACATTTATTTTTGTACGATATTTACGGTTATACTGTACACAGTTTGCACATTTCACAGAATCACTGTCACAATTTTTATAAGAATGGCCACTAGAACACTTAAGACACGTAGATACATTAGATGCACAGTTCTTCTCAAGGTGACCAAATGAACAGCATTTTCGGCAGTGCATAATATTGAGGTGATCAACTACGCTGCACCTCTTCCATCCTACGTAGACGAAACCTTTTGCTAGTAGAAGTTTTCTAATAGCTGGAGACACTTCTAGAACTAGGTGCATATTTTTTGAATCCCTCAGCTTTAACTTTGTGACTACTTTCATCGAGGCTGAAGAATCTTCGTCGTTCAAGTTGTTTAAAGTCAATATGTTTTGAACAATGCTATCATTATCGCCCAAATGATCATTAGAAGAAACATTTCTAATTATAATACGAGGATTAAACTTCTTGGATTCCCCAATGTGATATCCATTTCCAAGCTTGTTTCTAAGAGCTTCCTTCAGCTTCTGCAGGTCCTGCGAGCTGTTGCAATATACCGCTGCACCATCTTTAGTTTTTTTTGTACCACTTATATGATCGTTTAGTTCGACTGGATTGACTGCATCCCTAATGCATTTGACTACATCGGTGTTCTGCTTGTTGTTTGCTGATTTTACCAGTAATACAGATGAATCAATATTGTTTACACGTTTTTTTAGTATATCGCTGTAGCTAGGTGTATTTACATCCTTGGGCACAAAAAGTGGTCCACCTCCACAGGTTACAGTATTTCTACCAGCAGGAAAATTATCATTATCGGATAATTTTGATTTTAACAGTGTGTTTGAATATTCCAATTCATTTACTAGTTTTTGCATCAGACCTTTTTCTCTTTGCAAACACTCGATTTCTTTCCTGCAGATAGCTAACTCAGATGATTCAAATGTAGTCAATTTGCCACAGATCTGATTGGAGACCGGCTTTTCCACTTTAACCTTGCAAGAGTCACAAAACCATTGTAAATTATCACATTTTGATAAAATTCTTAAGACATCGTCTTTCACTGCCACACAGTGATTGTGGAAGCGTTTTTCGCAATTTCTACACGACACGAACTTCGTATTAACTATGAAATTATCCGAGCAGCGCGCACAGACGCATAACAACGTCCGCCATGTCGCGAAATAACAGTTTAAATAAAGCTATAGTCATGCGCCTATAGTATACAAAAGCAATAAAAACGTTCTGATTCGTAAAATCGGTTTTATTAAGTTTTGATAAGAGGAAATTATGCCGCACAATGTACAACCATTATACTAAGAGCTGTATCAGATTATCTATAGGTAAGTAGCCTGCTCTTATAGGCTGAATAAATAATATTTTAAAAAAAGACTGAAAAACACGCTGTTATAGCTAACCAAACTAAAAAGTAGAAAATAATTTTTAATTATCCAGGGTTTATTTTACAGTAGTAGATGGTAGAACAATCGATCATAATTAATGATCTCAAAATAAAATTATAATAAAATTTAAGTTATTGACAGAATAATTCAATTCAGAGTAAAAAGCTTGATATATTAAATGTTACAATCATTCTATTTTCAACTATTTATGAGAGTTATGAAAATGTAGTGAAATGCACCCCACGCTTTTTACTCTGAACTGAACTATTCTGTTCATAACTTAAATTTTATTATAATTTTATTCTCCACTTTTTAGTTCGGTTAGCTATAAAAACGTGTTTTTTAGTTTTTTTAATCCTTGACTCGCGAGCACGGTATCCTGTACCGCTATTCAAAATTCAACCTTCCATAACTGCGGTCAGAATGAACTCATGACCTTGAGCCCCCACCTAGCTTCAGTATATGGTGTGATGTCGAATTGGGAAAAGCGGCGCTGTAATTAGTATTCTCAAAACCGATTTGCGGAAGTGATACTTTGAAGCTTGGCGGTCCGTCATACCGATAGTCGCGTATAGCGTAGAACTTTTGGATACACGTCCAGTCAAGGAAATATTAGTTTTATTGGATCTAATGTGTTTATGTGTGATTGAGTCGTGGTAAGTTTTTTATCTTATTTTTATTTGTTTACGTGAAAAATGGCTTCGTATCTAAAACGAAAAAAACACAGTTCAGAAGGTAAAAATAAATGTAGTGCTTAGTACAAAATATTTTATGTGAATCAATATATATTTGTGCGTAAAAAAATAAATTTTGTTGTTGAGTATGAGAGCTGTATGCTAATATTTCGTATTCTGGAATATGTTATTATGGTATTTATTTTTATCAAAATTTGCGTTATTGAAATAACATATTATATTCAAATCCAGTGATTTCGTAAATCAATTCCCAAAGTTTGTTTTTATTTCAGATCATAGCATCTGGCTTAGAGTGAGTAAAGTTTGGTGACAAAGACTATGAGCAAAATCTCAGAAAATGGTTCGATGAATTGGAATCTGATGACGAACAAAAAGACTCTTCTGATTTAGAAGTTTCCAATGACGAAACATTGCAGGAAGATGAAATTATAGAAGATGACTGTTCTTCCACTTTTGAGCAAGAATATGTTTCTTCAGATCATGAAGAAGAGGACAGTGAATTAGAAATGGAGTCGGTAGACCAAGATTCGAATTCGAGCCGCGATAATGTGCAAAGTGATCATGTTACAGGTGTAGTCAGTTATAAAGGTAAAAACGGTTATATTTGGAAGTCCGAAGAACCCAATAAAGCTCTAAGAACGCCCAAACATAACATTATAATCAAATTGCCCAGTCTTAAACCAGCAGCAAGTCGTTTGGGGAACAGTCCTGATGTTGGTGAAATTTGGAACCTTTTATTCGACAACGAGACGCTAAATGAAATCGTATTGCGAACAAATGAAAAATTGGAAATAGTAAGATCTACCCACAAGAGCTCTAATACCACAGATTACAAGAATACTAACCTTATTGAAATAAGAGCTTTTATCGGTCTTCTTATGCTAACATCTATATTCCGGTCGAACCATGAAAATATGCATTATTTTCAAATACGTGTACAGGCCATCCCATATTCAGAGCAGTAATTTCTTCCAAAAGATTTGAAAAGTTACTCAAATGTATAAGGTTTGATGATGCTTCCACTAGAGTCCAACGGTGTCAGGAGGACTCAGCAGCGGCAATATCCTTTCTATTCATCCGTTTCATCGATAATTCACAAAAATGCTTCAATTTGGGTCCAACAACATGCATCGACGAAATGTTAATCAGTTTCCGAGGGCGATGCTCTTTTAAAATGTACATGCCTAACAAACCCGCGAAAAATGGTCTCAAATTACAATGTCTGACGGATGCTCGAAACTCTTATTTCTACAACGGTTATATCTACACAGGTAAAGATAGTGATGGAAAAACATTACCCGACGAAGAAAGGAAATTTCAGAAGCCAACACAGGCAGTTCTTCGGTTAGTCAAGCCTATCGAAAAAACAAACAGAAACATAACTGCTGATAATTGGTTTACCTCAATAGAGCTGCTTCATCAGTTACGCAAAAAAGGCTTAATTTACACAGGGACATTGACGAAGAACAAGCGGGAGATACCTCCAGAATTTTTACCATCGCCCAAACGACCAGTTGTATCTACGTTGTATGGGTTCTCCAATGATGCATTCACACTAACATCGCACGTTCCAAAAAAAATAAAGCTGTATTATTGGTGTCTTCAGCCCATCATTCTAAAGCAACCGACACCGAAAACGCTCTTCCTGAAATAATATCATTTTACAATGCGACTAAAGGTGGCGTTGATACTCTCGACATGAAATTATTCTTCCGGCCGTCATACTCGTCGTTGGCCCTTAGCAATATTTTGTAGACTGATAGATATATCTACCAATAATGCATTCGTTTTATTTCTTCATTACAAAGACATTACACCAAAATCCAGACGTCTGTTTATTGAAGAACTAGCGATGCAACTCGTAAAGCCTCATATGGCAAAATCCAAAATTGAACAAAGAACTTCAAGCTCTTATCAAAGGCGCTCTTGGAGTCGACGATCTTAGGAACGAACCATCAACGTCAAGAGACGAGCGGCTAGAACTGAAGAAAACTTGGTTTTTGTGTCCATACCAGAAGAAGAGAAATACGTTTTACAAATGCTACTCTTCTCAGCAACCGATTTGCCTCGAGCATGCCATGCAAAATGTGTAAGAACTGTGTCGCCGACCAAGAAGATCGCTGAAAACTAGCAATTTGTCTAGAATGTCATTATTATTCAGCTAATTTTTTTTGTTTTGCTTTATTTTGTAAAAAAATTAATAAAACCTTCAAACATTTACACTATGCTTTTAATTTTATATGTAAAAATCTAAAGCGGTATCACATACCGATACTCGCGATTAACGTTAAATTAATCAACCTCGCGGGTTAAGGATTAAACTGTTATTAATGGTAGTAAACAATTGATTTTTCTAACGTTAGACATCCCAACGCGCATAATTATTATACATATTATTATTCGACCGATTGTGGTAATGAGCGTCAAAATTTTGAAATGAACCATGTCAATAATGCACCCCCAGTATCCTTTAGGGTAATTGCGATTATTATCAAGATAACAACTGGTAATTGTGAAGTGCTCCATCCCAGAACGCTTCGCAAATCACACTTTTCGCAACTTTCAACACTGCCCTTCTAAACATGTACTTACAACAGATTAAATCGAAAACAAACACGACGGCTAATGTAAGATATTAATCCAAAACTGAAGACACGAGCGCTCGTCCAACGTGCATCGGATACATAATAAACGTTGCATGGCCTGACTAGAGAGAGAGGTTGGGGTAGGGGCTCGAGGCTAGGGATTGTCGGTCCAGGACTTCCCCGGGCCATCACTCAACGAACAGCCATTGTTCTACACAATTCAATATGCCAGCGACAATGTCTGCCATTATTGGTTGGGTGTACGATGCTAAATAGGTACATTTCCGCGTCTAACTCCGTGACTGTCATTAACTGATGTCAGATAGGAGGTGGTAGGGCCGCAAAAAGGGAGAAGACAAGGAAGTGGCTTTAAAGTAGGCTGTAATTTACATGGTGTGCCAGCGAAAACTTTTTTTACCTACTCCAACAAAATAAGAACCCAAAAATACTTATTTTCCATAACTGGTATGCCTGATCCTGAGAACATATATTTTGAAGCACGTAATATTGTTATTACTTATCTGGGACCAACTAGTCACTAAGGCCTGCCTTATGAAAAACTGGAGTTTCAGTTTCTCTTTATAGCCAAATGAAAATTAACTATATCTTGATAAAGTGAATTATTACATCGTTTTTCTTATTTAGAATAATAATTGCATAGCAGCTCTTAAAAATATAGAATTTTATTTTTATAACAAACCAATAATAACAATAATAATTTTTTGGTAGAAAATCACACGCTACTCCATCTCGTTAAAGGTCATTTTTTATAATATCCGTTGACCGTAAGTACGAAAGTGAAGGTGACTTGGTGTTATTTCCGGTACCCTCGTGTAGGAATTTAGCGGCTCACAGCCCGATTTAGTGAAATAATTTCACACGCATGCAGCGGCTTATCGGGTGATGAAGATTTTAATATTTAGAAATCCTTTTTCTCACCCTCTGGGGGATTTGGTCGTTGTCATAACTACACTAAACCATCGAGATGAGGATAACAGTCTGCAGTGATACTCCGAGGCAAACTCGAGTAGGACTAAACATCTACGAGGGGCAATTCCCCATTTCTGTGAACCCTCATGCTTCTACCTACCTTTGGGTATTGAGTTACATCTGGGACTTCCTGCCCTAGTTTGCCTACGTGTGATAGTCCAGCACCTGCCTAGCTGTTTTTTTTTATTTTAGTTTTTCCTGTAAACCATTTAGCTGGGACGGTAGTAGAAAATAACATTCTTTTGCTTGCCTGTCAGGATTCCTTTTCATTTTATTTGCTTCTTTTTCATTTGCATTCAAAATCCAAAGTACAAAGAACCACCCACTGAGGGCTTATCAACTACAGACTGAGCACAGTTACATTCTTTTACCAAATTATATCTTTATGCGGGATAACACTGGTCACCTTTCAAGATAGCTAACTATGAGTTGAAAGGTAACTATCAGTTGCTTAAGAATTCGTGTTTCAAAGTTCTGTATTCGTGACAACTAATGTCACAGGCAAGCAGATTAGATTAAACATGCGGTTTGACCACCAATACTTATTTATCTCATACATGGTCCTCTGGCTGAAGTTAACTACCGCTCTAGGTCAAACTTGACATTGAAAGATTGAGAGTTAACTTCTGATTAACAGTTATGTTACAGTTAGTTGGCGATTGAAAACACCGAGCGTAAGTAACCAAGATTTTACAAAGGAAATACATTCTTGAGGGTAAATAAACAGGATCTTCATCTAGGGGTAGAGAAAAATTTGCTCGCCAACCTCTTTATCAACAAAGTACAAAAATAACGTATTCCCATATATACAAAAAATAGATACGGGGCATTGGTGAAACTGCTTTAAACGAGGTTTAAAGAGCACGGACTTACGTCTACAATTGAACTTGATACACTTAACTTAGTGTAGCAGTCAATTTTTGAAACTGATAGATCACCAAGTTACTTATCCAGAAAAGATGTTCTATCGACATTTTTGTGAAATTTATAATTGACACTCTATTTTTAGGTTTGATTGTAATTTCTTCTTCAAGCTCTCTAGCATTGCAGCCGCTGCAGTTGGACATATGATTTTCATGCACTCCAAATCTTCAACTTGTATAAACAATAGTTGATCGTTTTTCAAAAATACGCTCGAAAGTAATTCTCCAATGTTCATGTTTAATAATAATAATAGTAATAATAATGAAAGTAATAATAATAATAGTAATAATAATGAAAGTAATAATAAAAATAACAATCACAATAACATATACCTTTTCATTTAGCTTAAAGGCTATAGTTCTATTATAAATTCCGTCCATATGTTCTTTCTAGAATAGGATCCGTTACTGGCTAGTTAGCCTTCTACGCTGACTAACAATAAATTACTTCCTCCGGCCTTTACACACTTAATATCTACTTTTCCCTTTCTGATTATAGCTTACTGCCGAGTTTTTGGTCTGTGTTGAATGCATGTTCATTTTTAAAATATATTTAATATACTTAAATCACAACTGCATGATTCGCTGATGACTGTGACAAGATTAACACCATAACTCAACTCGAGGGTTCGCCAAACAAATGAGTAGCGCCACCGTTATGGGGCGAGGTTTTGATTAAGCCTTAGGAATTTTGGTGACGTTTAAAAAATGAGGGATAATCTTGGAGCATGGAGGGTGTTCATGATGATGAAAAGTGCGTTAGATGCTAACACCGCCTGTTGCAATATTTTTCAACAACGTAATTCGTGCGACACTAAGTTAAAAAGGAAAATATCTCCATCATGACAGACAACTGTACAAGGAAAATATTATTTATTAAAACAGCGAAGGGTCATTTAATGAGAGAAAGTAGTTATAACGCACAACAAGGTATTAGTTGCTAAGGCTCAAGCAACCTCGACTAAAAACGCTTAATAATATTGAATCACCAACCAGGCAGTTTGAGAGTAAATCTAATGCTTGTAAGGTCCGCTTGCTTTCCGAAGGTCAGATGGTGGAGACAGCTGTACTTCTGTGATATTAGTGATTAGTTATTACTGTTTCCTCCATAACGAGAACACCAAGTGCTCTCGATTTCGTCAATGGGATCTCGGAAACGGTAAGAAACGTGAAGTCGCTTATACCTACCGCGGCAAAAGATCCGCATATAGGTAACTAAGGAAACTAAAAAGATTTCTCGAATCAGATTATTTCCAAATTTAGACAAACAAATATTTTACTTGGAATGACTCTCATTTTCCTCTGGCTCCATTTGAGGTGAGATTCCAAAACAATTTGCACACTAACATTGCCAACCTTTCCTCTACAGAGTGGCATAATGAGAACTTTTCGTCTTTTCTACTCCACCATGAACTTTGCGGTATTTCTGGAGGCTTTTTCACGAAGAACGTGTGATCTGTCATACAGTGGTGTT